CCCCAAAACCCCAAAACCCCTCTTTGCTGTTATAATATCAAAGAATTAGTTAATTAAATTGATATTATTTAGGCAAGGAACATGCTAATGATAAATTGACCATTTTATAAAACTCAAGTATTTCTAGAAATTTTCAAATGATAAATTCATAGCCATTATTTCATTTAATTTATATTTTTGTATTGAAGTTTTAACAGTAAGTCTTTTTTCTTCACTTATTAAGTTCATTTAAATAATCATCATTTTAGTAATCACTAAATAATCCTTCATCTACTTTCATTTGTAATAGATGGAATCGATCACTTAATTCATCATTCAGAACCACATAGAATAAATAATCATTTTAATTGTCTAAAATGATCAATTTGTTCTCGAAACAAGTATTTCTTTAATAATCTTCGAAGATGATATACTACTCTTTAAAATTTGCACAAACATATTTCTCTTTTGCTTAAAATGTAAAACATCCAAGTTTATTATCTAATTAAACTGCGTTTACCTAATGGTCTTATAACTTCAACAAATATTTATCGACAATAATCGGTTAATCAGAAATATGAGAGATAAAATTATTCTTGTCTTAGGCATATATAAGCTTTTGTGTATAATCTTAATTCATTTCAATCTGTATTAACTATATTTGTTTGACTCTCTAATAATCATTTCTATAATTCCCACAATAGTAATTTTCTTAGACACTAAACACAATATAAGGATCAATAGAGCATTAGAATTTTAATAACTGATTTGAAGTTATTTCACTCATACACTAATATACTAGTTACTTGGATTAATAGTCGTAAATAACTGTGAATACTCTAACATAATATCTATGTGATTGAATTAGATATTTTCCTTTGATGGCTCCAATGCTGATATTAGAAGTTTTATAAGATTAAAAATTTCCTTAATCTTTAATTACATAACTACTATCATTTATATTGATGCTTTACATTGTTATTATACCGTCTTTCTCAATCAAGACGACCAGAATTTTCAATTCACTTAGAAGAGCGAAATCTATAATTATGTCTTAAATTTTAATGTCATATTTCTTCTTAAAAGAATTATCATTTTTACCAGGACTAAATTCAATCACAATGATACTTTTTGCTTCTTGAAGTAGAATATAGTGGTCAAACTATTTCATCGAAGTTATGATTATATTCTCCCCTACTTCTATAGAATTCTGAACTTAGCAATACATATTCTAAGTCTCAATATATTACTCATCATCAATAATCTTCATTTTACTGTTTTATCCTGTCTTTTAGTTATGAATTTCTTTCTATTATTCTATTTAGGCTTTATCTATTTTATCTTAGTAATTGGACTTTTAAATTTTGATAATATTTTCAGGTTATTTCTAAGGATATTTATCAACAAAACTGATCAAAATCTTTTTAACATATGCAAATAAATCAGATGAGTTATATTCTTAAAATATTTCTTAATTTTTTCCATAATAGCTGTAATTAGGATAAATATAGTTTTTTTGAGAAACAACTAAACTTAAGTGGTAAATGAATTTTTCAGTAATGGCACAATGTTTTTTCCATAATATATCAAAATACTTTAGTTAAGCGTTTCTATATAGAAATGCTAATGTGTAATTGGCATTGTCTTTGTTTTCCTCGATTTTAATTATATGATCAGATGAAAAAGTCTTGTTTTCTACATAGCTATCGTAAATATAGACTATTTTTAGTTACGGTGAATCGAATTGATTTTTTCAAACTAAATCTAAGATTAAATACTCCAAGTCAATAATTTCTTCTTAATTATTTTTATCAAAACTTTCTGATTTTACAACAACATTGTACTTGCTCTTATCTTATTTGCTGCTTACTAACTTTCCACAAAATGTGACTAACAAGACAGAAGTATTTTTTTCTTAGAAAAACTTATCTAATCCTTTTTGAACTGAATTGAGAATTTACTTTTTAGTTGGATTAAGAGGTACTTCGTAGAACTAGTATTTGAGCGTACTTGTAAAAAATGACTGAGGCATTAAATAGTTATCTTTAAATTTGAATTGCTTGAGTTCTTTATAAAAATCACATTTGATGAATATGCCTTAATTTCTCTGAGGATTATTAGCCATAACTATGTTCTTAGTTTCTTCTACCATTAAGACTTTTAAATTTAATTTGCAAATAGTATTCTAACTAAATAATTTTAATGTCAGGATTTCTTTTACTGTGAATTTAGATCAATGTACTTTTTGGGGTTTTGGGGTTTTGGGG